TTAAACTTTACATCTTGTCATTGTTTGGGATCTGACCCTTGACCTTGGTGTTTCCAACACTGAGCTCTTACCAACAGAGCTAACCAGTCAGCCCCATGTTTATATACTTTAAAATATAGTGTGTTTTAGTACTAAACTCTGAGAATTTATTTCCCCATATTATTTATGTATCAAATTTGTTATGACAAATTGGTTGAATACTTGAATATTTAATATATGCTTTGGATTATGCTACATATTTGTAAGTGATACAAGAAAATATAAGGCAACATTTCTGCCCTTCTGAAGCATACACCTAGAGAGATAATGTCTATCCCACCTTCAGTCATCGTTGGTTATTTTCAGTCTAATTCTTTTAGATTACCATATTTATGCCATTTTATTTGGAAACTACCTAGCCTTTATTTTTGGTGACCTTTTGCCTCTAAATCTACTTTAAACATTAGCCCTTCTTGGAACCTTTCCTGTAAAAGCTCTCATCTCTTCCATGTTAATTTATATATAGGCCCAGGTGTACAAAGACACACAATGCATACATTTATTTAATCTCTTATTAAGAGTATAATATGGGTGTATTATATTATATTCCTAAAATATAATTCAAGAAATCTAATTCCTCATTAACTGCAAATTCTTTGTTAGGTATAGCTATCTGACTCATATTGATTGATGCTGGCATTATGGCGTGAGTGAAAGTGTTCTCTTTCCTACTAAGTATTTATGGCATTGATTTCAGCCCTACTCCCAGACATTTTTATTTCAGTGATCTGGAGTAGGACTTTGTTGTTTTTTTTCCTTCAGCAGGTGATTCTAGTGTGTAGCCAGGGTGTAGACACCACTCGTTTACTGCCTTACCTTGAAATTTTCTAGGACCAACTGCTAGAATGGGTCAGGAAATGGCCTTGACTTGTTAATCTTTGATTTCTGAGTATAAGAAATTTGTTAAAGCAAGTGTGAAATCAAATAGCAATTTTTGTTAACCTTATAAAGTCTGGCAAATACTTGGCTTTCTTAAGCCACTAATTTCTTAAGAACCCTGTATATCTTGGCTTTCATCACTTTTCAAAGCCTTCTTTGTGGTTAGACTCTGGGCTGCCATGTGTCTCAGGAGCAGAATGAAGTGTGTTACTGTGACTGACTGACATACCATTCTTTCTTGGTCTTAGCCTTCCCTAATCATAAACTGTGACCTAGAGGATCAGGGACTTCAGCATAAGGCCGAATTATGTAAACCTGATTTAATGCTGTTCCCAGATCTGAAATCTGAATGATTGGTTTTGATAATATATAATATTATGAGTAAACCTGGAAATGAATGAATCATAATATTCTGTTTTTGATATATTGGTAATATTAAAAGTGCTTCACAGTTATACATTATCTCGTTGATAAATCTGAGTGCCTTATAGACTCCCTGTGATGTCTTTTTATTTTTTTATAGGTCTGCCTATTTTAGGCCCAAATTATTGCTTTCCCAGTAGCATCATTTGAACCTGAAGTAGGATTTGAGAGGAAAAAAGAAAAGAATCCTAGCAGGATCACACTCTAGTACAGGGCCTTTTAAGTGCTGTTATATGGTTTAGGATTTGTGGACTCTATTTAAGTAGCTTAAGATATGGCCTCAATTTTGTTCATCCTGAATATGCTGCTTAAGTTCATTTACATATTATTAATCACCTTTGTAGGCCTTTATTCCTAATATACCTTTTCAACTAGAAAAATTATATATTTGAAAATAGATCTGCTAGAAAGTAGCATAATCATTGTTATTTATAATTTTATTGTTATGTAGGGAAAATGTTATTTATGTTATTAATTAATCCAGTATTAACTAATAATGTTGAAGATTTAATTGGTGAAACTCTTGATGGCTACTTTAGTGACTTCTCTGAATTTGTCCTTTAGCCAGGCCTAAACTGCAGTAATCCTTTCACTCAGGTGGAGAGAAGACATCAAGAACATGCCAGACACATTTCCTTTGGTGGTAACCTGATTACCTTTTCACCTTTAAGGCCCCTCAGTGGAGAAGAAGAAGAATTTTGAAATTAAAAATAAATCCAAACATTTTTCTTCATATTAGCATTGCTGTGATATATTCTTAGACTATTAAAAATTTGGAGAATTTGGATTCTTGTTCACTTCTGTTCAATCCATTTGTGTAGTATCATATAATGTTTTAATATTCAGTTTTCACCAAGGTATATTTTAGATATGATACTGTTTCTCAAGGGAAGTGGGGATATTTTGTACATTAACCATGCAGAATAAAAAAATGTACCGTGCCTTGCCTCTTGTTTAAAATGTGTACACTGAAAGCTGAGTTTATAAGTTGTTTTTTTAGTTTATTTGAAATATATTACATTAAACTTTGACAGAAATATTTGCATCCTTTTATACTTTATTCTCAGTTTGAACTCCTACGTTTGTGGTTCAACAGCTTTGCATTTTGCATTTTCCAGGATATACTGAGTTTCTTTAGATGAGCTTTCTGGATTCTGAAGTCAGTTTACATGCTGTAATTTCAAATGGTTAAATTACTAGAGGTACCCGTTAAATCTTTACCTTTCCTTCTTTTTTTTTCTTTTTTTCATTTTCTTCTTGACATGGTCAACAGAGAAAAAATGCCTTTTTCTCTGGAAGAGAATCGTATTAATGATATAATGCATTGGAAATATTTCTCTTTTATAAAACTCTTAACTATAGGATAATAGAAGACAGGGCCATCAGAATAAGAGAGCACCCAGAAGACTCAGAGTAGCTAAAGCTTATAACCAGATCTGGGTTCAGTTATTTTTCTGTCTGGAAATGAGTCGAGGGTCTAAGCAGGGACTTTACTGATAACCCTTTAAGATTAGAGGTTTTCAAACCAGAAAATATAACTACTTTTGTTGTCGGAGGAAGACGTGTTAGGCTTGAGGGAAAGACAGTATTTATTTTCAAGCCTATGTGAGGTGCTGGCTTAGAAGAATGTTCTCAGAATGCCTAGTCTTGCCAAAAGATAAAAGTAGCTTTAACATCCCATTAATGAACAATTTTAACAAGCCATACAGAAAAAGAAATATACATAAAAGTTATTGAGTTATCTAAGGGCCCAGGGCCATGAATACCTAAAAGGTTGGTACAAAGTAACTCAAGACTTAATGGAATACTACTCAGCCATAAAAATAAATGAAATTCTGCGATTTGCAGCAACATGGATGAGGCTGGATGAGAAATACCACATCCTCACTCATAACTGGGTGCTAAGAAAGAAAGAGGAGACAGAGAGAGAGAGGAGAAGAGAAGAAGCACAATAATACATTGAACTTTGAAAAGGAGAGAACAAACCTAAAAATACTAGAGATGGGGGTAGGGGAGGGAGGTGGGTTGGGAGTGTTTGGTCCGGTAAGAGGCATAAAGAATGATTACAATTTGTAATAATATGCTAATAAAAAAAGCAACAGGCAACATAAAATAATGTTTGCTCTCAAGGATAAAGCAGAGAAGAATAAGACAATGTCAGTAAACATAATTTTTTTTGGTAGGTTTAATAAGATGTACTATTGAATCATTTAGAAAGCTTTCAACTGTTAGGTATTCATGGCCTTGGGCCTTTAGGAAACCTTATCTTTTACGTATATTTCTTTTTTCTGCATGGCTTGTTATTCAAACAAGTAATGGACTCAAACTGGCTTAACGATAAGGAAATGTATTATTTTATGAGTTATGAGGGTGATTCCAGGCACTTTACAATCATGCTCAATGATGGCATCAAGGTTCAATATTCTGTCCATAGTTCCTTCTGTCATCCTTGCTGTCGGCTTCTCCTATAAGGCTGGGTCCTTTTGGAGTCATAAGATGGCTGCTAGTGGCAATCAGAGCCATGTTCTTCCCTTTGGTTGGATTAGGCCAACGAGTGCCACATCCCTATCTGCTGATAAATGAGTCACCAGGGGATTGGCTTAAACTAATAAGGATTCCCTGTTGAATCTGAGATTATACCTGAATAAAACTATGGCTGTTAGGAAACAAGGAATGGATGTAGTGTGGGCAACAATCAATGTCCCCTACAACTAGATAGTGTTCTTGGGCTATTGGACTCTAAAATTATGAGGTATTAAGAAAATCTTTAGGGACAGAATGAAAAAAAAAAGAAACCCTGTTTGGAACTCCCCCAGGAGTCTCAGGCTGAGACACTGCTGCTCACCTCCTCCCTCTGCCCGGTCATGTGCCTTCTCATCCCCACAGGTGTTGATTACAAGTGCACCCCCTCACAAACCTCTTGCCTTCTAATCTCTTTGCTTCCTGGGAAAACCAACCTGTGACAAGTACCAATTTAAAGTATTTGAGAAGATGGTATTATAGACACAATAATAGATAAAGTAATATTTTAGTCTTCTGTAAGATAAAGTGGTATGCCCACATCCTAGTTTTGAAATTTTATTAATCTTTGGGCTTGCCTGGTAATAAGAAAGGGTGGAAAGGCGTGGTTAAGAATGTTGGTAGTAGGAACAATTAAATTTTGAAAGCTACCTAATTAAGACGCTACTTTTTTTCTTCTACAAATCTGGAGATTTCATAAAAACCAAGAGAACCTGAAGGGAACTAGTCTTACAATTGGTATCAAATACTGATTTGAAAGTAGTGAACTACAGTTTAGAGAGATAAAATATGATTAAAAAGTGGTCAAAAGAAATATGCCAGAATGCTAACAGTAATTGTCTACAGGTCATAAGACATCTATGGGTAAACTCTTTCTTTCTGCTTTTCTCATTTTCTGAATATATTTCCTAAGTAAGAAAATGAAAGAATAATTTTCTCAAAGCATCTCCTGGTTTTTATGAAATTCTGGAAGAGAAGGGATAATTTGGGGGTAATATTTTTTTCTTAAAAAAATTTTTTAGCAAGTATAGACAACTTTGGGAGGACTAATGCAGTATTAATAATGCTACATATTTTTTCCCATTGTGCTTTATCTAGAATTCACTGCTCCAATTAAATGACATATAAGGACAGGTAGCTCTTAGCATAAGAGTATTTATTAAGTGAATGACTTACAAGAAAGACTGATGAATAAATGTAAAATTTTTTACTCATACTGAACATAAAGCTTTTATAAATGTATAAGGTTTAGATTCAATTTTATTTTTTAAAAAGTATCTGCTCTTTTCAGATTATATCATACTGTATGAAGCACTGGTGAGGTCTATGTCACCAGAAATTTCCAGTTTGCTGATTTCCTTGAGATTTCTCATCCGATGGTTGTACTGCAACAAGTGGGCATCATTGACCGCAACCTTGAAGTGGTCAGGTTCAACCAGTACTTGTATCTGAAATGGCACATACAGAGACTGTTATGAGAGGTAATGCATATGTTAGTTAGCTTAATTTAGCCATTTTACAGTATAAACATATTTGGAAACATTGTACACCATAGATATATACAAGTTTTATGGTCCATTTAAATTTTTTAAAATGCCCATTAATTTCAAACAATCTGGCCTGAGCTCGGGATGTCCAACATTTCATATTTATCATTTATGGAACTGGTTAAGATCCAAAAAAGTAACTTTACAGCAGAAATAAACTCCAGATTCTTCAAAGATTAAAAAAAAAAAAAAAAGATGAAGCAACAAAATTAGTAGAAGAATATATAAGTGAAGCCATAAAGGAAAAGTTTAATAATTTGCCTACGTAAAAACATAAAAGTTTTTGTATGGCCTAAAATACCTAAAAGTAAAAATAAACAGTAAAGTAGGAATCCCTTAACAGAGTGGCAAATGTTATGAAGATCGATAACCAGTTTTGGCAAGGGTAGGAGAAACATACTCTTCCAATATTTAGTGGATATTCATTCAATCCTTACATCCTTATGGAAGCAGCAATTTGGCAATATCTTTAAGTTTTCAACATGTGTATTCTTTGAATAAAATTATTCTTCTAGGAAGCAAAGATTTATAAGGATAATTATTACAGTATCTTAGTAAAATAAATCCAGGTTTATTTAAAGTATACCTTGTCAGTAGGGTATTGGTTAAATTATCACATATGTAAACAACGAAATACTATTAAGTAACAATGTTCTGATATAGAAAGATGTCCAGCAAACATAGAACATGTTTACTTATTTGTCCCTGTCCTTGAGGAGCTTACAGTCTTACTGTTTTATTGGGCCCTCTATAGTCAACCCTAACCAAAGCTGTGGACCTAATATTTGTTGAAGCAGTGTTTAAAAATAAAAAATAAAAAGTGTGTTGTATGTCATAGAGAATCCTGGAAAGATACTCACCAATTGCAGTCTTTGTGAAGATGAGGGAAGAGGTAAGGGATGGAAGACTTTCTGGTTAATTTAAAAATCTATAAATTTTTCTCTTCATAAAACAAATATGTATTAATTTTAGAATTAAAAACATTTACTTTTGACCACCATGCCAACTATGTTGTTTTAAGGAGCTAAGTCTTAGTCTACCTGTACCAGAATGATTTTCTGCCTTTTTTATTAAAGATGCTATTTTTTTCATTTCTAGAAAAGCTTAAACTCAGAAGGGTGGCCACAATGATGATGGCGAGGTGCCTGAAAGGAACTGAGGAGTGTGCCACTGCCGGCCGTGTCCTCAGCCTGCAGAGACTTAGTCTCCTGGGGTGGGGAGGAGATGGACTGGTTAGGTGCCCCAGAACAGGAGATAAACATTCATTTCAAATGCTTTGTGGTTTTACAGTGATTCTCCATGAAAAATATACATTATTAATATATAATAATAGCAATAACTTACTTTGAATGGTTTACCACTTTCAAATGGGAAAACCATCTGTCTTTCCTCCTTTCCCCAGTTATTATCCAGCTTTGTATTGCAAACAATGACTCTCCTGTTGTTCTCATTGAAGCGTGGGTTAAAGTGGAAGGCAATGTCATACCCTCTCTTGAAATTTAAAGCAAGTCTGTTTTAAAACCAAAGACCAGAGTTATTAAAATGATTAAAGTTGTACATCTGTATCAAGTGAAGAACACATAATTTTCTTTCTTTTTTTTTTTTTTTAAAGGATGACTGGTAAGGGGATCTCAACCCTTGGCCTGGTGTTGTCAGCACCATGCTCAGCCAGTGAGCAAACCGGCCATCCCTATATGGGATCCGAACCCGTGGCCTTGGTGTTATCAGCACCGCACTCTACCGAGTGAGCCACGGGCCGGCCTAGGAACACATAATTTTCTAAAAAGCAAATCATTTCATAATATATAGGAACATTTCCTGAACAGAAAGCAAATAAACCAGAGAATGGGTTCAAAGTGGAAAGTACACTAGGCCCAATATTCTATGTACTACTATAAAATCTAAAGGTAAGCTAGGCAATATGTGTTGAATATTTTTTTTCTTTGTCTTTGATCATTCCCATTTAGCTCTCCTTACAGACTCTCTACAGACTCCACATGTGAAAACCTTTCAAGGTTTCCTTATAAAGGTTTAGAGCCACTTTGAGTATACTTTATGCCTTGTTATACATAATGATGGTTATCTCTTTTCTGCCCTGCCAGGTTGCTTTTAATACCCGTTAAAGGCTAAGGGCTATTAAATACCTGGCTTTTAATAAGGGCTATTAAATACCTGGCTTCCTGATGGTTAACCAGCAACATAGTTCCTCTAAAACAGGAAGAATGAGATAATGTAGTTACTGTTCAGTATCCTGTTGCTAGGTTATAAAGTCACGACAATAAATACTTTAATCATTTCCTAATGTGAGATGGAACTAATGAAAATGCTAGTTTAACTTTTTGATCTTGTTTCTTCTTGGATGTTAATGCAAACATGAGTCCTCTGACTAACCCTATCCCTGAGTTTCTCAAAGTGTGCTCCACAGAACAGTAACACCAGAATTAGCTGGTGTTCCTGTTTTAAGGCAAGATCTGCACTCAAGACTAACAATGATTCTCTGGACATTGTTAATCACCCAGTAACAGTCACATTCAACCACAAATGTATCTTCCAATGCTTAAATTCACAGGGAAAAATGGCAATAGAATTTGTATTTGACTAAATGTCCAATGGCTATATTTCCTCTGCAGTGAAAAGGAAGACATTGTCATCTCTGTTACCTTAAGCACTTTTTTTAATGCAGTTCCTCAGAGAGAATTCACAGGACCAAGCAACAATTTTTTTTCAGTTTACTACCATTAACCATTTCAGCCAGAATCAGTTTTGATCTGCCACAGTCTCAGTCTACATCTCTAGCGTTATTGGAACTCAACTCTCCAGTGCAATGACCCTAAATAAGTCAAGGATACCAGTGTGGTTCTGTGAGTTAGGGGTTGTGGGAGGAGGAGAGCAGATATTAACATCATGAGTGCTGTATACACAGGATAAGGTATGCTGGGTTCTACATTATGTTAGGAGGAAACATAAACAGGGACATAGGCAGAGGATTTATATATTTTGTTATCTGTTGTCAGACAAGCTTTATTGTACAGGGAAGTACTGTGCTTAGAGAAGCTGTTTAGGCTGTGTGGAAAGAATGGTAGTGACTACCATGCAGAACCAGAGGAAGCTGACTGGAGGTGAAGTGAATGGGCTATTTGAATGTAAAATTATCAGATCAGAAGCTAAGTTCATCTCCTGGTGTTAGGAGGTGGTTCCCATTGATTCACCAGGAGCAAGGTGACAGATACTTGTAAAGGCTGTTTATCGATTCTTGAGTAAAACTGGGCACATGGCTTGAATTTTACCTTTTGTATACTGTCACATTCCCATTTGAATGACACAGACCCATTAATTGGCTGTAGGAGCTTTAGTGGTACCACTAATTTCAGGGACAGGCATACTGAACAGGACATTATCAGCCTCTTCATATTATATGTAAGTATAACCAGTAGCAGTAACCAGAGCCAGGCATCGCAGAGTGGCCATAAGTCAGCACAGATTTTCCTAAATTAGCTCAGTAAAGTCTTACCACATCCTACCTAGTCCACTTCAATCAAACCAGTTCCAATTACAAAAGTGAATTTATTTTATTTATTTTTTATTTTTTTAAAAGATGACCGGTAAGGGGATCTTAACCCTTGACTTGGTGTTGTCAGCACCATGCTCAGCCAGTGAGCGAACCGGCCATCCCTATATAGGGATCCGAACCCGTGGCCTTGGTGTTATCAGCACCACACTCTCCCGAGTGAGCCACAGGCCAGCCCAAAGTGAATTTATTTTAATGAAGTCCATACCTTGTAGAATCTTTTCAAATGGTATCTACTCAGAAGACTGGGGTTCCTGGGCCTGCCACTTGTCTGTAGAACCTGAGCCTCAGTTTTATCTATAAAAAGGAAATAGCAATATTCCTTGCCCTGGCTTCTACCATGAAGATTAAATGATATAATACATACAAAAATACAGAATAGTGTGTTACCATTTACTGTGAGTGACCCTGACACCTAGAAAGATTATGTGAAATACGTATTGATTTATGGGAAAATGCCACATGATGGCATAACCAAGATTGTAAATATGTAGTTTTTAAAAAATCCTGTTAAAATTCAAAATAGATCATTCTTTATTCAAAAACCAATCAACAAATAAGTTAGTCTCTTTACCCATTTGCCCTGGGCTTCACTCTGCCCAGAACTGTTATCAGCATGCGAGGCATGACTCCTCCTGGCAAAGGCAGGTCATAAGGCACAGTCTGGGAATGAAAAAGTATATATGTATCAGTAGAATCATGTTTTCTTGGGGAAAGAAAAAAAAGTGATGTTGCTAAAGTTCAATCACTATTAATATGTGTGAATAACACATAACCCTAGTATTTAAGCTATCTGTCCAGACTCTCAGGCCAGCTTGCCCCAGGCCTGAAGAATTAAGGCTCCTTACAGGCAGAAATAATAATAAAAATTAAAGCCATCAGTTTAATTAGTGCCAAAAGCAGAAAATATACCCTTTTGAAACACTGTGACTCTCATTACTAGGGCCATCCCAATCTATAACTCATTCACGTAGACTATTTTGGAAAGCCTTAAGCTAGACCTTGCAGTCAACTAACATTTTTGTGCCACTCCTAAGACCCTTGTCATATAACATATTTCAGTGTAGTTAGTCTGCTCCCTGCGGGCAGGCATTGTGTCACATTCTGGTGCTTCTGGGTTTCCATGTGCTCTGTACCCACTTGGCACCAGCAGAGTGCTTTGTACATGACAGATACTCAATATTTGTAGAATGAACACTTTTTAGTTAATACAGTTCATTCCACAAATGTTTATTGACCATCCATGTTCAAGGTGCTGTGCATATCCCCAAAGCTCAATCGTTGGCCTCTTCTCTTTCCCTTTACAATGTTTCTCTCTGGGTTCAACTATCACCCAAATCTGTAGCCCTGGTCTGTACTAGTCGTGTACTTCCTCCTGTCTGGATTTGCTACTAGTGCCTCTGATCCAACAGATGTGAACTGGAATTGGCTCCTCTGCCCCTTGCCCATCAGCTTCCCCTGCCAAGTTTCCAGATTAGGCTAAAGCTTTGCTGATGTTCTAGTTGTCCAGCCTTGAAAAGCCAGAATCATCTCTGACTCCTGGGGCTTAACCACTAGATACTGGGGGTTCTTCTCTGCACTCACTATCACCTCTGCCTGTTTCTTTCCACACCCTTCATGTCCCCATCTGTCTGCAACTGGCTACCCGTTTCTGGTCTAGCCCCAGCTCAATGAAACCCACTTCCCCAACACTTTCTCTGAGCTTTCTCTAAAGTGACCTAAAAGGAGATGATACTACCTTGTACCATCTTCTACACAGTCCTGAAATGGTCTAATCCACATCTTATTTCACTCTTTCCTCATACTTGTATGTTTTCTTCCAACTAGACTATAAATGTGGCAGGGAAGGATCTGGGACTGAGATGCATCTGGATTCCCCACAGAGTTACGTTGTAGTTTAGAATTCACTTACTAAAATCAGTTTTAATTTGCATGCAAATTCAATCATTAGATCACAAAATTATCTTTGGAAGATTTTTGAAGACTGGATTACCTTGGTTCCCTCACATGTTCCCTTGATGACCTCAGGCAAATTATAAAACTCTCTTGCCCCATGTCCTCATGTGTAAATAAGGATGATAACAGTATCTTACAGGGTGGTTATGGATTTACCTGATATAATCCATGTAGACACATAACTGCTGGCACATGTCATGTACTCAGTAAGTGCTTATTAGTAAGGCAAATTATAAAACTCTCTTGCCCCATGTCCTCATGTGTAAATAAGGATGATAACAGTATCTTACAGGGTGGTTATGGATTTACCTGACATAATCCATGTAGACACATAACTGCTGGCACATGTCATGTACTCAGTAAGTGCTTATTAGTAATAACCCAAACTTTCCCCCATTACTACAATCTTAACTTGATTTATATTAAAATAGCTTTATCAGTGCCTTCAAAAGATGTGTTATTTTCTCTTTACACTAACAGTACACACAATAAACTCAATATGAACAAAAACTTTTTATACTGGACCAACATACACCTGTGGCTGGTGCTTAAGAGGTGCTTAAGAAGTGGCTCTAAGCAGTGGGTTTAAAGCACTCTGCACATCAGGTACATGAAATGATGAACTCCTTCTTACCAGTGGTCCTGCAGGGATGCCATGGGGACCAGCAGCGGGATGGGCTCCAGGAGCACTTGGCTGTCCAGGAGGTGGGTAGGCCCCAGGCCCACCTGGTCGCCCTGGGTAGGCTCCAGGTGGTCCAGGATAAGCTCCAGGTGCTGGTGGGCCAGGATAGGCACCAGGTGGTGCCTGCCCAGGATAGGCCCCTGGAGGTGGTGGCCCAGGATAGGCCCCTGGAGGTGGTGGCCCAGGATAGGCCCCCGGAGGTGCCTGCCCAGGCTGGTTTCCCCAGGGACCAGGCCATCCTTGATGATTTGGGTTTGCAGACCCAGATAAGGCATCTTGAAGCTGGAAAGAAACAATTACAGGTCAGAAAACATTCACAAAATGGAATTTGGAGGAAAACAAAAATATGTGATCTAAGAAGTAGAGGAGTATGGTGAAAGTATGACACTCATATCAATAAACCTTTTTCCACCTTTGAGTTCCAAAGACTGAAATTAGACTTTGGGATTATATGTGCTTTATCATTTTATTCTTGACTCCCATCATCTCAGATCAGGGAAAGCTATATTTTTGAAATTTGCTCAAGTCAGGAGCTAGCTCTCTTCTATCTACAAGCATATTCTTTCTAATCAGAGTGAGAAAAACAGTCACAAACATCGGGATGCTCAGACTGTACCACTCTTCCTAATACTCAGAAGATTTCTCATCTCCTGCCAGCAGAGTCTACCCTCTTCTGTCCTAGGCCCCTCTATGAAAGGGTTACTGTTCATTAAGTCCCAACCTCTCCCTTCCTGCTTTCTTCCCAAATCTGCTGCTGAAAAATTAAGACTCCAGCCAACAAGCCATCACTGGACAAGTGAGGCCAGAGGAAGCCACGTGGTGGGAGAGTGAAAAGGGAAAGTCTGGTGGAAAAAACAAAACCCTCAACCTATGTGGAATGTACATTAGGGTAAGAAAACAGACATAAAACACTTACTGAAAAACTGTCTGCCATTTTCCTGAGAGGAAAAAAGAGAGAGAGGTTATCATTAAGTCCTGGGAGATCTCACCGATTTCCACTAAATTAAATTAAATTAATTCCACTAAACTGGGCAGTTCTAGTCAATCTGCAGGTGTTGTGCATAAGTCCACTATGTGGAACCATAAAAACGTCTCATCAAGGGGTGGGGATGCTTTCCAGTTAGATTACCAAACCCTATTTATCTCATAAATGTAAACTTTGATCACCCCAGCCTGTGCTCTGAATGCTGAGAGTGAGAGGACATACAGTGCAGGAGGCAGAGGAGGAAGGAGGAAGACAGAGTTCTGCCCCTTTCCTGGGTAACACATGTAGACAGTCACTGCTTACCTTTGGCCTTCCTTCACCTCCCTCCCACCACCCCTTTTAAGGGCCTCAGCCTGTTAGTGTCGCCTCCCCCCTTCTGTTCCCCCTAACAGCCCACGCCCTCTTCCAGGTTTGGGGTTGGAAAGCCGTGTGGGATGATTCTTACTGAGATATGAAAGACAATGATCTCCAGATATCACTGCTGCCTCCTTATTTATTCCTTCATTTGCACACATTTATGCCTGCTCTGGGCCAGGCACTGTGCGGGCTCCTGTCTGGGTGTGAAAATGAATAGGCCAAGATCTGTACGGTCAAAGGGCCCACAGTCCAGCAGGGGAGATGAGACGCATACATGGAAATGCAAAATAATTAGTATTCAATGCTGTGAGTTAGACTCTGGGCTGTGGGAATTCAAACCCAGAAAGCTCACTTCCAAGAGGGGAAGGGAAGGTGGTGTTTGTGCTAAGCCTTGAAGGAGAGGTGCTGTTTAGATGTGCTTCTTTAAGAAAGGTACTTATTATTCCAAATGCAATCTCTGGCAGTATAACAAACTAAGGTGAAAAAAAGTCAGGCAATGTGGAAGAAAATATTTTGGGGTAGGATCCTACCAAAGAGAGTTTGTCTAGCCCAAAGCTGTCACAAGGTCTTGAGACATCATTCCTGCCTTCTCCTGCTCTGTCCCCTGGGCCAAGTCTCCAAAAGCACAATATGCTCTACAGCTGCTGTAGCGGCTCCTGTGGTGACAGGAGGGGGACAGCTATGGACTCCTGAGGCCTGGGCGAGTTCTAAGAACTGGATCACCTGTGCTATGGCCAAAATTACCTGAACCTTGAAACAGTCAGAATCTCTTTTTCCTTGATTTGCCTACTTGTGATATTTTATCAGCCATTTTACAAAATGACATTGCCCCCAAGGAATCCAATAAATGGCCACTACCTGCCTAAAAATGTAAAATATTAAATTTTTCTGTAAAAACTCAAACAGGCAGAGCTTTACCTGGGACTTAATGTGTGCTTCATTGACACATGCCAAATATTTTATACTATACTGCTGTTATGTATATCACAGTCAACATTACATTTGGCTGAATAGTTTTGTGCACAATCCTTTTTTAACCTAAGCATTCTCAGACCTATTTGGAAGCAGTTAGGTTATAACCATGCCCATCTTACTCGCTTTTGCCTACTTCTCCAAAAGACAGCCATGCGACTGTGTAGGAAACTGTGCTGCTACCCCAGGAGGAACTTGAGAGAAGAGTCGTTACAGAAAAGGAAAAGGGCTGGCCAGTTAGCTCAGCTGGTTAGAGTGCACACAGCCTTGTAACACCAAAGTCAAGGGTTTGGTTCCCTGTACTGGCCAGCCACCTAAATAAATACATAATAAAAAAATGGAAAGGAGAGGAAATTTCTTAAGCCAAGAAAACAAAACATCTCTCACTTGGGATGCCAGTAGGCAATAATCTTGAACTTCAAGGTGGGAAGACAGATTAGCTTCTTTCACCCCCGGGCAACATACGAAAGACCCAGCAATAACTTTATGTGTTTTGACTTCTTTTAAATGTCCCCATTGCATAGGAGCTTATTCTCAACCTCAGCAACACTGACACTTAAGGTTGGATACTTTGTCGTGTGGTGCTGTCCTGTGCACTGCTGGACGTTTGGCAGTCTCTGACCTCAATATATAAGATGCCAATGGCACTCCACCCTCCAAACTTGTGGCAACCAAAAATGTCTTCAGACATTGCCAAATATTCCCTAGGGACAAAATCACACCTGGTTGAGAGCCACCCATCTAGGCTAGTTAGCAAGTGTATCCCTATATAAATGTACACACACAGGTCAATAAAAAACAGAAAGGTTTTCATTTGTTAAAATTAGCTGAATTTGTACCATTTGCCTCAGAAAGTGTCTTATTAATGTAACTCCAATCAAATTAAGGTGTGTTTAAAGGCTGATTACAACCAGAAATTCAAATAAAGAGGGCATTTCCACAATTTAACATTTATTCTTTTCAAAGCCTCTGCTCAAGCATGTTTAGTTTATTTTCCAATCCGACCAAATACAATTTGAGAAACAAAGCAGATTTTACTGGATTTCCACTGTGTTTCATATAACACATTGCATGAGTTTAGATTGTGTCATGACTCATGAGACAGGCCCTGTGGAATAATTACCCCCTGTAGTTGTGTGGTGCTTTTCAGTTTACAAAGCACTTTCACATACCTTATTTATTGTGACTCTGATAACAATCTTACGAGAGTGACAGGACAAAATATTCCCACTGTAAAGTGAGGAAACTGAGACTCAGAGAGCTAAATGTAGTGGCCCAAAGTCATCCGTCATTGGCAGGTCAAAGACCAGGGCCCAAGTCTCCTGACTCCTAATTCAGGCTCATTCTACACAAATATAAAACCTCACACTTTGAAATCTTAAAGTATAAGTTCTTTTTTTTTTTTGGCAGCTGGCTGGTATGAGGATCCAAACCCTTGACCTTGGTGTTACAAGGCTGCGCTCTAACCAACAGCGCTAACTGGCCAGCCCTTAAAGTATAAGTTTTAATAACACTCTTTGAAGTGTTAATTACTTCACTGAGAAATTAATTCCCTACTTATTTGTCTGGAATTACAGAAAATGCTGAAATCGTAAACAAATTAAAAAACAAGATCATGTTTTTGTCAGAAAACTTACTGGGTGACTCATTCAGCACACAGTGATATTGAATACAAGGATGCCATTCCGCACAGTCACTTTGCTAATTATAACCACATTTTAACCAATAAAGTGTACTTTTCAAAAAATTGAATATGTACTGTTTTGATTATGTGAACTCCCAACCATCAGATCTCTTTTTTGAAAAGGGTTATAACCAGTGCTCTTTTGAAGTCAAGGTTATCAACCTCAGAATTTTAGGGGGGGTGGGGAACAAGACATCTATTTAGATAAATACCTTCCTTACTTGCCTGGAAAATTTTTCTTTTTTTTTTTTTTTTTTCAGATGAGTTGTTTATAGACAGAGACACATGCAAATTTAAAAATTCTTCCCACACTACAGATACTACAGATATGTGAACTCCACCCTGGTATTCCCAGAATCAGAGAATTTTGAAGAGCCAGAAAAAAAAAAAAAATCATCAAAGATAAACTAAAAATAGGGAGATACTACCTGTGTGTCCTCATTTGGAAACACCTACAGGAAGTAGTTCAGTGTAGCTTTGGAATAATGAATTTAAGCATGAATCAGAATGTAGACCCTTTTGGTAGCTTTTCCCTTTAATAAAGAGCAGCTATCCACTGCAGTATTTTATTCTAGGTCCACCTAGCAAATAATTGTCTGGGTTCCCAGGAACACTTCTGAAATTTCTGCTCATGAAGGGCCCCGACTTTTACACAAGCTTTAACAGAAGTAATTTATGAACGCATTTCCTCAGAACCCTGGGCACTGCTCCACACTGCGCTCCAAAGAACACAGGAGAGGTGGTCTACTTCCTGCCCTTGCTGAAACACGGAGGTCCACTTTCCAACACCAAATTCAGGGATGCTGAGTTGGGATAAAGGAGACTGGCCTTTTCCCAGGATTTCGTTCTCATCAGAGTTCCTCAGCATCAAGGAAGGTAAAGTTACTTTGTGCTTCTCAGTTACTCATTATTTCTTTCCCCTATGAAAAATCTGAACAGCAGTCAAGAGAGAACACAGGATACTCAGTCAACAGCAAACTGAAAGTATACAGTAAGCTCTGCCCTGGCTGGCTCTTTAGTTACCCACTCAGAATTTTATAAGAACCAGTTCAGGCACTAGACATGAAGAGCAACCCAGCTGTCCTTAGGGGGAGCCTGTATCCCAAAGGATTACGGGGAAGAAAGGCTATGTTCGATCAGTTACCATGAGTCTCAGGTACACACATTTATAAGCCAATTGGTATTTAAGAACAAAGTGAGATTCTCAAGTTATACTGTATGAATGTAGGTCCCTGGTGCAGTTAAGATTGAGAGTCTGGCTAATGAGGGTTCTAGGCAAACAGGTACCTGAATTATAGGAAAGATCAACATTGGCCTCACTAGCAATAAGTGAAAAGTCTTTATAAAGCAGCTATGCATATTTGTAGCACAGTGAACCATCATTAATTAAGGACCCCACAACAGAGCGAGGCTCCCTGCTCTAAACCTAAGTAGTTTTGAGGTCAGTCCCTCAAGCAATACTCTTGTTCTTTTTACTTAACTTAGTGAGGTATTTTCCTAACACTTCTAAGCTCTAAACATTCAGGGACCATCATCAAACTTCTCCCCAGAATATGGAATAAGTGCTGTTCTTATTAACTGCCAAACATTATGAATTTAGGAAGCAGCTCCACTCCCCCAGAGATCAAGGATGAGGCATAATCATCCTTGGAATGAAAGGGCCCTACTCTAAGGACTCAAAGTCAATGTCTAAAAAGGAGACGATTGTTGTAGAAAAGTAAATTTCTATTATTATACTTAAAGTTTTATAGAAACACACAAGTTCTTAGTATGAAAGGTTTATAAACTTGAGGCAAACAAGTCAGAACTTTGAAAGTTGGTGAAAGTTTCTCATGCTCCGTGCCCAAGTGGTTAATTTGATCACTATCATTTTCTTTAGAATTAACTGAGCCGGTCTTCCATTCCCTTCCCAGAATCGGAGAAACAGACCCGGTCCCTGAGGTCCAGGCGTCCTCATTGCCCAGCAATCCAACTCCCAGGAGTCACTTTACAAATATTCCACAGTATCTGGAATAGGAATCGCCAACTCGAAGGGTTAGGCTGAAGCCTAAGTCACTTGCCTCAGCCCATGCGTCCCCAACTTTCTGGCACTGGGCTCCTACTCCTCAGAGTGCAAGCGTTTTAGTGTTTTCACCTGAGCAACTGTTAATTCAGAATAAATCCTCAAACATGTATTAAAAGCCCCCCAGCTAGGACTTTCCTCACTTAGAGCAACATTCTGCCACACCAGATACTTCCTCAGCACAGATCTGAGATCGCTACTGTCCAAATTAGCCAGTCTGGGAAGGGATGAATCGTTTGATTTGCAAAAGCTTAGGGTTTGCAGTTTTTGTAAGCTGGGCACGTGCCCATTCAGGCCTGGGGGTAGCACCATTTCTGTGGGATCAGCATTCAGAGAGCAGCTGCTGGTCCTGGTAGGAGAACTCATTCGTGCTCCACAGCAAGATCTCCTCCCGAGTCAGCGTCAGCCAAGTCATGGGTCCCAGGAGGTGCCTTACAGACTCTCTGGGCAGTACCCCCTTGCGCTAGGGATACCAAGAGAGCGGGCCGCTTGGGTTGATGCACGAGCCTGCCCACCACTCCCTCGCAATCGGACCTAGCCGACTGGGAGACGGTTCACTCCACGTCCACAAAGCGCCGGTGGCAGAGGGCAAGTCGGTGGCTGAGCCTCCGTGGCGTCGCAGACGGTGCCCTGTGCTGGGCGCGGCGTCCACAGACACACCCGCCGCCCCGAGGACGTATATGCGCGTCTTTAAGGCGCTACCTTCCTCGATCTCAGACCTCTCGAGAACCAAAGGCTGTGGCCCCGTGCCCAGGACGGTGCCCACCGCTCCGCGCCCGCCCCCGCCCCCATCTCCGGGAAGCCAAATCCCCTCCCGGCCGGAGCCGCCGTCGGGCGCGATCCCCGTGCCGCACCCTCACGCCCCCCGCGCCCCGCTCCGCTCACCGCGCTCTGCGTTCGCTCCTCGCGGGCTCCCGGTGGCTCCTGGCGAGGTGGTGCGCGCGCTGGCGGGGCGGCGGCTCTGCGCTCAAATACGCCCCACTCTGCCGGGCCCGCCTTTCCGGACCAGGCTGGGCCAGCCCCGCGCCCGCCCCACACCCCCAGACTCCGCTCCGGGCACGGGAGAGGGCGGGGGCAACTTGAAAGTCGGCGGTCGCCAGACTCGGGCTGTGGCCGCCTCCGCCGTCCTCTCTCCAGACCCACCTGACTCCTGGGAAGATCCGAGAGTCTGCCGAGTGCTTAGTGTTTGCTTAGAGGAGCTCGCTTTAGGGTAGCTTGCTTAGGGGAGCTCGCTTTAGGGGAGCTCGCTTTTTAGGGGAGCTCGCTTTTTAGGGGAGCTAGCTTCCTCGCTTGCTTTAACCGTGTTTACTTATTTCCTGCCCGAATCGCAGGCGGTCTCATCCCTCTCCATGTACTTTACCCAAAGCCTCCCCCAGAAGTGCACAGTGACTTGTGTCACGGGAGTCCCTGTTAAGGTTTGTGAGATGCTGGGTGAGACGCTCCCCGTTCCTGGCTGGCAGTCGGTCCTCTCTGGACTGTGCTGTGGGTCCACACCTCTCAGACGAGAGCACCCAGTGTTTGCTGTTTGCTCCTCGCTGCTTCCTCAGCATCTACCGAAGTGCTTGGTTCTCAGTAAATAGCAGGGTCTTCAAAAAGATCATGGAAAGACTCGTATTATCTTTTTAAAAATTTTTATTTATTTATTATTATTAGGTCTTTTTGTTTTGTTTTGTTTTTTTTTACATTCTAAGATACCGCTGAGCAGTTGGGTGGGGGAGACGGGCAGGGGGAGGGGATAGGGTGAAAGGAAGAGGAAGGAGGCGGCATTGTCAAGGCCGTGGCACCCCCCTCATTCCAACAGGGGAGCCCAGGGCGCTTCCTGAGGTGGCCTGGTGTTCATTGCTGTGCTGGATGGGGACTTGGGGGCAGAGGGAGGCATGTGGCCGAGACCCTGGCCCCCACCCAGGCTTGGGAACCCAAGGGGCTTGGAGTCCTTATAGGTTTTATAGGTGTTCTTTGGTGGTGTTAGAGCTTTACTGGTTAATATCAGAACTTTATCTCTTGTCTGTGGGTACTTTGTGTTTTCTTTCAGTTCTGTGTTGGATTATTCACTGTTCCCACCACTTAAACTCTGCACTAGAACTAATTCGTTATCCTTTGGTTACCTCTAAAATGGAGGAACTTCCTGTGGGGAACAGTATTTGAGCTTTGTGGTTGAGCTAAATTGCTGCTTTGCTGTGCTTCTCTGGGGAAAGCGTTTTGTGCAGCTCAGGTATTAATTGTTGACCTTGAAAGCACTTCCGGGTCTTGTGAGGTCTGATACACCTGGGTTGTGTGGAAACTCTGGTTTGGGCCTGAATCTTTTCATGAAACTGCACCCCCTATAATTGTATAATCCTGACCAGTCTCCACCGAGTGGTCCTGTGCTGACTGGAGGGCAGATCAGCTGTCCATCCTGTGTCCTAGAGTTCCCCTGGTGGCCCATCTCCCCCACCCCCTGCGCTCCAAACACTTCCCATGGGGCAGGCCGTGCACTGGTCCCTTGTGATGACTCACCAGCCTCTGAGTGGCTCCTTTTTTCAATTATCTGTGGCCCCTTGCTCCTGTGTGGGTCCACAGGAACAATGTTAGTGGTCTTGCTGGCCTGGAGGTCACCAAGGCCCTCTTCTCCCCTGCAGCCTCCAAGCATCTTCATACAAAGGGCACAGCTGCGGCTTTTGCCAGCTCCTGCTCCTTGTGCTCACCAGGGACAGCCTTGAATTGGCGGGGGCTCAAAATGGTAGGAGCGGTCCTTTCTTTCTCTCATTGTGACTCCTCCCACCTTCATGCACTCTGTAGGTCTCTCCTCTTCTTCCCCTGAGCTCTATCAGGCTCAGCTTGGCTGTCATTGCTTTTTAATAGTTGTAAATTGGTTGATTATGGGAGAGGGTGACACTGGGGACCATCTACTCTGCCATCTTGATTGGAAGTCCATATTATCTTTTAATTTCATTTTTTCATAAACTTCTAAAGTTCCCTTGTATGTGTTTTATGAATGAATGAATGACATAATGAATTGCTTCCTAGGAAGTCTGGCTGTTCTCAAAGATTGGAGAGAATCCTTTGAAGCAGGGAACCGTTGAATGAAAAGTGCCTTTGGTAAAGGCAGGAATGGAGCAAAGCTATGGTTGTATGAAAGGCTGTCACAACAAATAACCTAGTCTGAAAGCAATTCCCTTATGAAGTAATTTTCAGACAACTCTTTAATACATTTTGCAAAGGAAATTCAAGTTACACGTACCCTCCTTTTAATTTCACCTCATCTTTTTGTTGGAACAAATGGATAAGCATTATTGTCTTATTTTTACTGTCAGGTGCAACGATCTGAATGTTTATGTCCCTCCAAATTTCCTATGTTGAAATCCTGAGCCTCAAGGTAAATAATATTAGGAAATGGGGCCTTTGGAAGGTGATTAGGTCATGGGGGCAGAGCTCTTATGAATGAGATTAGAGCCCTTATAAAAGAGGCCCAAGAGACTCCTCATCCCTTCCACCGTGGGAGGACACAGCAAGAAGGTGCCATCTATGAACCAGAAAGCAGGCCCTCACCAGTTGCCAATCTGCCTACCTTGACCTTGGATTTCCCAGCCTCCAGAACTGTGAGAAATAAATTTCTTTTGTTTCTGAGCTATCCAGTTTATGGTTTCTTGTTATAGGTGCCTGAATGGAATAAGACACAGGGAAAGTGATTTACTTATCCAAGCTTATTCATGTCTAGGAACAGAGTCCAGAATTCCTGACTTTTACAACTTGTCCAGGAAAACACCAAGCAAAAGAATCCTCTCAGGGACTGGCTTATGTAAGCTATGGAAAAAGCTAGGTGTCATCTGGTTCCTAAATAGTTCCTGTACTCCTTAAAATAACCAATTAATTAATAATGTAAAGATAAATTATTTCATCCAATTTTCCACTGTAGGAGGGAAATGTCCATATGAAGGACTCATTTGATGGAATTGAGAAGCTGTCTTGGCATTCTCTAGGATAAATTTAAAAGTACCTTAGTGGCTGGAACTGTTCCTGCACTGCTAGGTCCTCTAAGCTGGCACACACAGGGTACCTGGGCATTATTAGAAATATGAACTCTTCTCTGAAGAGGTAGGCTGGCAGCCAATTTACTTGAATTATCCATAGTAAATGACTAACCTATGGGTATTGAAAAGGAGTTACCCACAGGACTGCCCTTTGTACCCTAGGAAAATGCCATAAATCTTAAGACTTTGAGTCATGAGGCCACATGGCCAGGCGTGGTACGCTTAGAGAATCAGCCACTGATAATAAGATAAATGGATAGCCAAACAGGTTGCTATGGAGACAAGGGATGAGTCACACTCTTGCTTTTCCTATGGTAATCTCTGGTCATTTCAGGGATAAATCTCATGTCCTTTCTGCTTAGTGGGATTAGTGAGACCTGATTGTGTGACTGGACATCCTTTGGCTTCACTTTCTCACTTGCACACTCCCACGAACACTTCAGTGCCAACTTCATGCCCCATAAAGCTAACAAAATGATCTGCTATGATCAGGGTGTGCTTGGGAATTTATAATTTGTACACATGCAGTAAGTGGCTCATTACTACCCAACCCAAAGTCATATAGCTCTTCCAGGATAAGTGTAAGAGGAATCTAATAAAATTGAAAAAATATCACTGAGTAACTTCCATGTACAGATCACTGTGCTATTTGAAATAAGGGACAAGCCCAGTAGTAGCCCTCAAGCGGAAGGGTGGCTGATTTCTACTGATAAAGAGTTGTTAGGCCCCTCGTAAAAGCAAGGACCCTAAGAGAGGCATCTGACCAGGAGCGGGGGGAGGCACTTGGAGGAAGCTGGTGGCAGTCCAGAAGGTCTGGGGGCAGCTGCATGAGGGGACTTCAGTTAGAGAGCCAGGAGAGAGTAGGAGATGAGGTAAGAGCAAAAAGGGAAAGTCACTGAAGGTGAGCAAAAAAGAGAAGAAAATAAATTGGAGGAGAAAGCAGAGCAAGTTTATTGAGTTATGTTTTAAATAGAGAAATAGAATTGGAGAGGAAGGGCAGAGAGAGGAGAAGAGAAGGATGGAAATATCAGAAAGTGTGAGTGAACCTGGAAGAATCCAGAAAGGAGAAGAGAAATTTCCCAGAAACTAGCGCTACACTGGGCCAAATAAGGAAAGATTGTCTCCTAAAGCTAAAGCTCTTATGTAATATAAACAAAAATACATGTGTTAAATCTTGTAGTCAGCAGGACACAGGGACAGCCAGAAAAGAGAAAACAGAGACATCTTTCCAGTTTTCACATTTGGGCCCGAGGGAATCCACTGCAAGTTTGGCAATTCTATCTGTGTCCACGTGGTGTCAATATGTCCAGGTGACAGTGAAAAGTTGAATCAGAATAACTGGTTTCTGGGGCCGACCCGTGGCTCACTTGGGAGGGTGTGGTGCTGATAACACCAAGGCCCCGGGTTCGGATCCCATATAGGGATGGCCGGTTTGCTCACTGGCTGAGCGTGGTGCTGGCAGCACCAAGTCAAGGGTTAAGATCCCCTTACCGGTCATCTTTTTAAAAAAAAAATAAATAAATAACTGGATTCTGAGTTGGAGACGTGGAACATGTGGCTGGCAGATGTAGGGTCTGAAGGACAGGCTGGGTGTTATGGGGACACCATTTATGCTTTAAAGATGAAGCAATTTCCAATTCTGGAACAAAATGATTACAGCTGTCTGCTGTTTCTATTCCCAGTTGTCTGCACATACTCCCTCATTACTGAGATGCTTATTGGGGGCCTACATATGCCTCCAGCATTTTGCAAAAGCCATCTCTACCAATGCACTGAGTGAATGAGTTCATCAAAAACCAGTCAACAAATGAAACGGCGTTGGTGGCAGTGATGTGCCAAATGCTGGTTTTCAAGGTCCTTCCACCAGGGCTGCCACTAGAGCCCCTCATGGTGCACTGAGAGCCATAACCTGCTCAGAAGGGAGATCTTCTTTTCTTG